TGCCTCTGCGAGTATCCTTAAATAAAGTTTTGCAAGGGTGAAAACAACCATAAGTTACGTCCTTTGTTCAAGTGCGGGGAATCTTCGGAACCCAGTAGTTCATTCTAAGACAATAGTACAGTGGTCAGGGCACATTGGGCAGATGATACAGTCTTCCTCATTCCTTCCATTACTCAGAAATAGATGCATTGACATTTGTATTTCTAAAAAGGGTGGAGGTGTTTGTCTTTGTATGTATGAATATAAGTGTACATACGTATGTGTATGCATACATGCATCTGTATATTAGTAATAGTAGTATGTAGTATTTAGATTGATATCCCTCCCTATCTAGAAAGATAAAGAACGGCACATCCATATATCTAAAAATACATTGGTCTGTGTATATACATGAGTGTGTAAGTATATAACACACCCCTAATCCTCATGTTTCTCTGGAACAGTTATAAAATAAGTTTCTTCTTCACCCTGTAAATGTCAGTCTGTCAAGTGCCTGTGATATGGAGGGAACATGGTCCTGCTCTGTCATTGGTCTGGGATTATTATTCAGACCCAACACATTTTTAAACATTTCACTTCATAGGCTGTGCAGATAACTAAATGGGATCTCATTTTTTGCATTTTGCTTTCCCCCCCCAGTTGATGCAGTTGTTGGAGTCTGAAACCTCTCGATTAGAAGCATTTCTGGAATGGAAACAGCTGGAACCAGTTTATTGGCAGTGGATGGTAATGAATCAAACTAATATGAATAGCACAGTTTTCAGTAGCACTTATATTCAACAACCACTTGCTGCTCTTTAACCCCTTTCCCAGAAAAATAAATGCTATAAACCACCTGTAACAACTTTGTTTTGAAGAAGAGGCTAATGTAAATTAAAGAATGCTCTTTCTCATCAGTTTTATCCTGTGTTATTTGACTTACACAAATAAACTAAGGAACTGGAGGGGAAAGAAGCTGAATTTCACACAGTTATCACAAATGGAAATACCTGATTTTCATCTCTTTTATGTTTTCTTAAACATAGCAATCGCACATTCCGTTATAAATTAAATGGCTTTTCAGAAGAGGGACTTAAGCTTTATTATAGACTTGAGGACAACTAAATTTGCAAGCAGCTGAAATTGCAAACAACTTCAGCCAGATAGTGTGGTGAAATTGCAGATTTCCCCTTGAACTGTGTTGAATGATCATAAGAAAATCAATAAACCTTCTTCTGTTCATCTTATGGCTTCTCGATTGAGTGTGTGCTATAACATCCATCTTGCTTCCATATGAAACTTAGTCAAATGCAGAGGTTGAAAACAATTCTTGAGAATTGTAACTTAACAGTATGCATTTGCAAAACCTGGAGAAACAGCATACTGACCATTAATTAGTTGCTAGTGTGCCTTGTTCTACTACAAAAAACAAAGTAAAGGAGTGTAAAATTGTTTAACCTGTCTTGAAAAATATTTCAGAACCTACAAGTTTTTGTGTTGTCAGCAGAGATGATTACTTAGATAATGGCTGTTGCTTTATTTATTTATATTATTGTGCTTGTTTGACAAGCATCAATAGTCGGATCGGCACAGATCCAAAATTGTATAAGCAGGCGTTTCAGATTAGGCAAAATTTTACTGCAGTTGCTGTGTTAGGAGCCTTCTTCTGTGAACAGTCATGAACAGGCTATTGAATGTGCTGTCAAAGGAGAGGCTTAGTACTTCCTAAGATTGGGTCCTAAAAGCAATTCATTATTACTTGTAAGAATATAACATAATAGCATTCTTAACTAAGCCCAGGGTGATCAATTTCTATTTTCTTTCCATTGCTATGATTTGGATTTCTGGGTTTGTTTCTGGATTTTTCCCCCTAGATTTCTGTAGGTTCAATTTGTACTTTTGAAGCCCAATAATATATATGTTAACAAGTATTTAAATGTACCCATCTACCCAACATTTGTCATAAAAAATATTTTGCATCAGGAAAGAGTTAAATATGATTCAGAATCCAGTGTCTATAAATTTTTTAACTGTTCTGTTGTCTTCTTCATTTGACCCCTTCCATCTTCAACTCAGGAACCAAGTCTCCATCTCTGGAAGCTTTTGCTTGCTCTGGTTACCTTTCCTCGTACTTTTCTTCATGCATTTATCATCCTTTCCATAGAGAACGTCTAGTGTTCCTATTTGTTTCTGTTTACAGTTTTTTCCATTTTTGTTTACATCCCTTAGTTCTTTCATCTCTGTAAAAATATATCCCTATCAATTGTAACTATTTCCTTATTTTGGAGGCTGCCATTTACAGTGTGAATAAACTCAAATTTCTTAGTCTTTCCCTTTCACTGAGAGTCTTCTATTTGGCACAGTCTGTGCATGCCTCTCCAAGGCAATCATCCTTTTTCCTTTGGAAGGCCGCAAAATGGTACCCTATCACCCTGCCAGACCTTGAACTCCTTAAGCTAACAATAGCATTCCTTTGGTTTGGAGTCACTCCTTTTGATGGTGTAACATAGTTCTTTGAGGTGGCCTTTGTATGTTCTCACTCTTGAGGATCCAGAAGTGAGAATGGAGTCTGCTTAAAGGTGAGTAAACCTTTGTCTTATTTGCCCCTTTTATAGAGTCTATATATTGCTGAGCTGGGGGATGGAATCAAAGGGTGCATCCAAAGGGTGCAGTGGTGCCATTGCACCCCACGTGTGATTCCTGATCCACCCAAAGTTTAAAACCAACTACCTGGTAGGCTTGTGTGAAGTGGCTTGTATTTGCTTCAGGTTCAGATCTGGCCAATTATAGTGATTTGTTTCGGTGATTCGAATCACTGTCCCAAATCGATCCAGCTGAATCTGTTTTGGAGATTTGGCTGCTGCTGAATCAGCTGAATGTCCGAATCACACAGGTCCCATCCCCCACCCCCACTCTCAATGGCTACCCCCCCCGCCCCAGCTGCCGGCTCTTTGAAA